TCTATGGGTTTAGTTTGCCATGGGGTGGGAAGGGGAGGCCCCATGGTGCCATATTCATGCACAGAAAGTTCACTGTCTTTCACTAGCAATGAGTAAATGTGGAAGAGTCTTTTCTGAATTATTTTTATTTACTCAGAATTATTTTCATATCTTTACTGTCCTGCTTGTGATTCTCTTTATTCTGTGTACTGTTCACCCTTATAGCATGATTTCTCATACTATTTGTACTTAAGTTCACTAGGACACTACCAAACCCTATCTAGCTACCTCTGGAAGATATATTTTCTTGAGATTGCTATCCCATGGTTGGCTAACAGGTTAAAAGTCATTAAACAGATGTCCATATGCAGACAGTGCAATTATAGAAGTCTTTTTCCTCAGATCGCAGAGTAAAATCACCTTAAATGAAGATAATGCAAGAGATTAAAGGCCTGTTTGTTAAGGATAGATTTGTCTCTTAAATGGATTTTCCTGTTAGTGACTAAGTAACCTTAGAAGAGCGACAACCCCTTGTATGCAATATTACCTGTAAGGTTTTTAGTAAAGAAGGATAAACCCTTCATGGCTTTCAACAGAGACTGTGTTTTTGTAAAAGATCAAATCCGCTCTGAGTTACCAAGGAAAGGCTGAAATTCTTGAATGAAGTTCTATGGGCCATGTTACAATGTTATACTTCAGGTCAGAAGGAATGAGCACTTCTGAGCGTAGATCTATGAAAGTGATTTCATTAAACAATATTGGGCAAGTCAATCCAACTTTTTTTTTTTTTCAGTACGGTTTTTTTTTTTTTTTTTTTTTTTTTAAATTTTATTCACTTTCAAGCTTAAGAACACACACATTTAGTTAGATTTTAGCTGCAACCCAGTACCTACTTAATCCCAATATCAGTTAGTATGTGTTCATTCATAGCCACAAAATCTGGAAACTAAAGTTGTTCTTGCTTGAAGTCAGAGACATGCTACTTTTGAAAAGCAGGAATGTTTAGGTACTCTATTAATATTGTACACAATGAATGAAAGAACATACAAACTCTTTCCTAGTAATAAGATAATGTCCATTATGGAAGACAGGAAATCATTCCCATCAGTAAACACCAACATGACATCTTCTGTCCTTATGAAAATCTATCCCGATAGATCTAAGCCTGGTGAAACAGCAGAGGTTCTCAATTTTGAATCATAATTTTAAAACAATTATAGGTTGTTATGTCTTGACAAAATATACCTATCATTTTACCTCAAAGGAAGGATGGCTTTAATCTTATGAAACAGTCAAGAACAGTGCCTTTCTTGGAAATTGAATTTATTTTATCTAACATTAGTTCTACCAAACATGTATTATTTCTGAGAGTACATTGCACCTATACACATTCATTAGGCTTGATTGCCTAACTTCTAACTAGTTAGAAGTTCCAACTAGTTGATCAAGTACAGAAACAAGAAAAGACCTTCCTTTCTATAGGGAGAGCATATATCAGATCCATCAGGGGCATTGCTTACACCTTATAGTATTCCCTCATACAAGAAGATGACACAAAGATTAGATTTCCTGCTTTGTGTTTATAATAATAGGTAAAAGGGCCAATGCTGAATGGCACATAACTGGAAAAGAGTAATACTTCCTTAATTAGAAGCAAAAATGAAAATAAAAGTTTCTAACAGGAAAGAACTGATTATCTAGCTCAATGAGAAATATTTATTTTCAGGCACTTGAAGGAAAAACGAAAGCCAGAATTCCAAGAGAGGAAGAAATGCTCTTGTTTTACCCAGTGATCCAAGATTCAGTCAGTGCTAGGATGGAGAATTCAGTGAGCGCTATTAAATCACTGAGAGGCTTGGGTTGGAAGGGTCCTTAAAGTTCATCTAGTTCAAACCCCCTGTCATGGGCAGGGCTGTTACCCACTAGATCAGACCAGGAACATATCCAGCCATGCCTTGAACACCTCCAGGGATGGGGCACCCCCAGCTTCTCTGGGCAGCTTGTGTCAGTACCTCACCACTCTCTGAGCAAAGAATTTCCTCCTAGCATATAACATAAATCTCCCCTGTTTTAATTGGTTGCAATGAGGTCTCCCCAGAACCTTCTCTTCTTTAGGCTAAGTAAACTCAAATCCCTCAACTTTTCTGCATAGGAGAGTTTCTCCAGTCTCCTGAGCACTGAATCATAGAATCATGAAGGTTGGAAAAGACGTCCAAGATCATCCAGTCTAACTCTCCACCTACCATCAAGATTTCCCCACCAAACCATGTCCCTTAGTACAACACCCTGGAGATATTAGGGAGGGCTCCTCTAAGAAGGCAACGTGGCCAATAGCTAAGCTGAAATGCCTCTACACCAGTGCACACAGCATGGGAAATAAACAAGAGGACCTAGAAACCGTGGCACAATTAGGAAAATACAATATAATTGCTACCACGGATACATGGTGGGATGAATCCCATGATTGGAATATCCTGATTGAGAACTACAGGCTTTTCAGAAGGGATAGACAGGGCAGGAGGAGTGGGGGAGTTACCATTTATGTTACTAAGTGGATAGATTGCAAAGAGCTGTGCCTGAAGAACAGCCTCAATCGGGTTGAGAGCTTGTGGTTTAAAATCAAGGATTGGTCCAGTAAAGGGCATCTAGTGGTTGGGGTCTGCTATAGGCCACCTGATCAGGGAGAGCCTGTTGAAGAGGTCTTCTTGCTTCAGCTGCAGGAAGTGTCATGCTTGTGGACTCTTGTCCTGATGCGGGATTTCAAACAGCTGGATATCTGCTGGGATAGCGGCATGGCAGGTGGCAGACAATCCAGGAGATTCCTGGAGTCTGTTGAGGACAACTTCCTGATCCAGGTAATAGATGGACCAACCCAAAGTGCTCACCAGTGCAGAGGAGAGCATTAGAGAGGTTAAGCTTGGAGGCAGCCTGGGCTGTAGTGACCATGCTTTGGTGGAGTTTGTAATCTTGAAGAAGTGCGGGCCTAGCAAAAAGCAGAGCTCAGACCCTGTGTTTTAGGAGGGCAAAGAAAGGTAGAAACATGTGGAAAGAATATCACCCGGAAAACTTTAAGTGTTTGGAGACCACAAATTTCCCAGATGCATACAAAACCTCAAGTTGTATTCATAAACTGTTGTAAGCATGTCCTGAGGGTCAGGAAGTCATCAAACCAAGGTTTTATTCAAGTGGTTTTGAGGTTTCAGGTGAATGTTGCACTGCTCTGGTAGCATCCAGAGGGATGTAGTGTGGGTAAACTGAGTGGGATTTATTTGCTCTAAGTACATTAGTCTGTTCCTGAACAGAAGAATGATTATAGGGTAACTTTACAGTAGGGACAAATGCTTCGCTATCTTATAAATGTATACATCAGTGGAATATTTGTTGCTGTTGAGGCATAGTGGAGTAATAAGAGAAGAAGAAAAAATATCATAGTATTGGGTTTTATTTCCTATGATCTGGTATAAATAAAATGTCATGAATTGTTTACATAGCAAACAAAGGCTTGTAAAAGCTTGGAGGTAAATGAGTTAATTCACTACTTACATAATATAAACTGTATTATTTAGAGCTAATTGGAGACCACCCCTTTTTAAACTGTGGTTTAGAGAGATTAATATTCCTAAGAAGTTGAATTTAAACAACCCAATAATTATTCTGTTTAGGCCTTTTTTTTTTTTTTTAAACAAGAGATCTCACTGATAGCCTCCAGACTTTGCTAATCAGAATAATTTAATTTTAAAAACCATAGCAGCATAAGTGAATATCTGAAAGAAGTAGATATATCAGACGCTAATAAATTCTTTCTGTTGAAGATTTATCATGGAAGTATATTACTTCTATATCTGTCATAACTTTTTTTTTATAATTCATATAGTGTTCTAGTAACATCAGAAGAAAAAGAATAAATTTAGAGGAAATAATTCTTGTATTCATTTAGTTCATTTGTTTGGTTTTCATAAAACCATATTTACCCAGGAGTTACATAGAAGGAATTGAAAATTTTCTAAAGAAAATTTTCCAAGTATAAAATAAGACTCGGTTGAAAAAAAAAAAAGTTTTATAAATTATTTTTATTGTTATATTATTTCAAAATTATGTTTTACCTTTTCAGTTTCATGCATGAATTTTAAATTATTTCTACTTTCAAAAACTATTTCTCCAGAAATGTCTTGATTTATATATTTTATTATCATGTCTATTTTATTCAGAATGAGAAGTCTAGATTACCTTATTTCCTCATAGTGCTCTTGCAAGCAAGAAATGCATCCAAGTTTCTTTCTCTGGTTCTTATTTCTAGCTATGTTGCCAATTACTATTTTATATAAATATATGTTGAGATTTTCTAATGAATTTTTTATTTTATGTAAAAGAAAAAGATTATTTTTATCATGACATTATTAAACAGAATTTCTTTCCTTTTTTATAATCTCTTCCTTCCTTCCTGAGTACAATTTTTTTTTGGCATCACAAATAGGCCTGGAGGTCACCATGTAAATAATCGAAGACTAGGACTTTGAACTGTTTTTTCAAAGCTAAGAAGTTGGGTAGGTTTTTAACACCTCCTTATTTTTCTACATGCCTTAGCACATCTTTGCTTTGGAGCTATGCAGAAAAGAACCCTCTTAATGAACTTTGGAACTTACATCTAAGCAGTTCCTTTCTTTTTCTTCTCTTTCTTCTTCTTCTTCTTCTTCTTTTTTTTTTTTTTTTTCCTGGCAGAAATCTAATCTTATCATGCTAACGGCATGGGATGTACCACAGTTCTTTTTTTTTTTTTTTTTTTCTTTTACAAATACAAATCTCAATACCCTTGTTCTCTTTACCAACAATCTTTTCTTCTGGTCTTCCTCTCAACTTCATACCCTGCTCAGCTCCTGGGGTCTCTGCTGACATCACTGGTGCTCAGATCACACCTGGGACCCTCTCACTGAACCCTTTCAAAGTTTCTGGGGACAGATGAAAACACCTTTGTCTTTTGAATGAAACAGGAAGTTCAGCAAGTCAAAACATTGTTTCCACAGATCTGCTTGGGGTTATCCATCTGTCAGAAATGCATGTTTTTACCTGTATTGTCACTAAGGCAAGCAGGAGGTCTGATGCATCCGACCACAGTGTTGTGATAAAGGAAGGGAAGCAGATCTCAGCCAGGAGATGAAACGGTGAGCTCCTCCTGCACATAGTAGCAGGTATGCTATCTGGGGTTGTGCAATGTTTAACACTTTCAGGGTAAAAAGGATCAAATGGTTGACTGTGTTGAGAGTTGCCTCTAAGTTCTCTGATGCTAATACTGTCTATCAAAACTCTCATAGTTACTTTTCATTTCTTTCCACTACCTTTTTGTGCTGTTGACATGTACTGACAGATACTGGAGCAAAGTGTGGTGCTTTGAAAATTCATTTATTTTAAAAGAGAAAATATGTCCAAGAGCATAGATTGATTCAAAAGTAATACTTGCCATTAATTTCCATAGAAATTGTAACAAAGAGCATAATAACACTATTTCATAGAGAAAATTCTCAACAACAGTGTTATTTTGCAGCATATTCACTGTCATTAGCTGTTCATTTTTGCCAGTCATGAACAAGAACCTGTCTGACATTCTTGTAAAAATTTGCACCAATGGAGGTGAAACACTGCCACTATCACCGCTGTTGAAACACATCACCCACAACCTCACTATGCTCATGTCCACTGTTTTGTCTCCATAAATGTTCAGCAAGCATCAGTGAAAGTCAATGGGTGCAATTTTTTTCCCACATACAGGAATTCAGTTCCATATCTTTTCTTCTCACAAGCTTCCATGTCAGATGCCATTTTGTCAGACTGCCCCTCTACTGCCATCTGTCACACAGCAACAAAATGTAATGTAAGATTGGTGTGAAGGTTCAGCTTCTACTGACATACCACTAAAATCTACCTCTGACATTGTACACCAACATAATAAAACAGGAGGCATTACTTCCAGAGCAGCACTTGTATAAAGTTAGAAGAGAAACCAAATATCAGCCATGCAGTTCATAAGGATATAACTTTGGGCCAGACTGAGTATTTTGAAATGAGCAGTAAAAATCTTTTAAGAAGTAGTATCTTTTGGCTTCTGCACTTCCATTATATTAAACTGATTTTCTTTACTCACAGTGGGATTTCAAATTAATTCATAATTATACACACAGTGAAGGGATGAGAAAGAAATAACCTAATTACAGACCAAAAAGATGCCCTACAGCTATCATCCAATTACTCCAGTCATCAGAGATCTTAAGCAAAATGATGGGTTTAATCCTCTCTTGGTCACATGTAGTTGTAATTTGCCATTGAATACTATAATTTCACTTTAAAATATTCATTCACATAATATAAAAATCTTAGAATGGATACAGATAATGAGAATGGGTCATGATCACAAATACCTTCAAGATTTTTTTCTCAGATATGCATTTTCTGGGCATTGGGTGAAGAAGGAAATCATGAGTTCTCTGCTATGTTTCTAAATGATACTTATTAGCTATAATTAGGCAGATAGAAGGTTTTTAAAATAAGGGAGAACCCCAGAATGCCCAATAGCTGATGCAATCTATCTCCCAATTTCAACTTTACCTTTCAGCAAGGGATGAAAGTTCATAAAGACGTATGTGATAACCTCATTAAATGTAAGTTAAAAAGCAGATTTCTAATGGGACAAATCTTCACCTTGCTCTTTGAGCAATATTCTCATACTCATAGTGTATTCACTAAAATATAGCAACAGAGTGGAAAGAATAACTATGATGTGAAAAGGGTCGTGGTATATAATAGGTCAGTTTATAACTATCTGTTTTTCTCAGTTCATTGACTACTGAATAAACTACTTCAATAGTAACCCCAAAAATCTTTTTTTCCCTCAGGTTTCTGCAAGCGAAAAAGAAAAAAAAACAAAAAAAAAACAACCCCCAAACAAAACTGTAGACGAAATGAAAGAAGTGGAGGCAACTTCAAGCTTCAGTTTACTGCAATACACAAATTTGATCAGCTTAATATGTGACTCAGAGGCTATACTGAGTGAAAAGACATGGCAATGTCCTGGAAAAGTGAGTTATAAATGCCAAAATGGTCATCTGACGTCTGCTTCAGCTTTCAATTTTGTTTTTTTTTTCATACATTTTTTAGTCAGAAATGCTTCATTTGAATTTTTTGCCCCACTTTATACACGTGCAAGCTGTTATAGGTTTTGATCATGCACTCTTTACAGAACAACTGATTTGCTAACAAGTGGAAAACAGAATTTGTTAACTTGTCTTCAGATAGCTGTGCAGGTAGAGGTGTTTATTTATTTATTTACTGGGAGTGGCTTTTAAAGATCACACTGACTGCCTTAAAAGTGCTTTTTCCGAGTAATGCATGTTTGCTTGTGGAGAAACATTGCTTATACTTGTTGTATTTCACAGACTGGAAATACACTCTTTTGGCATCTGAGTGGATGTGGGACATAGAGTGCTGCTTGAGTATTTATTACTTTGCATGTATTGTTTTGGTAAGTATTTTGTTCAGTACACAGGATTTAACCAGTGGCACATTAAAACTAACCCATAGGCTAGTGGACCCTATGGGTGTACTTGTGATATCTTAGTAATTGTTTTTAGTTACTACTTGATCCTTGGTTTTTTTTTTACTTTTTTTTTTTTTTTTTTTTTTAAATTCTTTTGAAAAAATCATCTGGTTAAAAGTTTGGAATCTTGAGTTGTTCCTCTGGTGGAATGATTGATGGTGGAGTCATCCCTCTGTGAATCAAACCTGTTTATTAGAAAGTTCATTGCCCCATTTCTCTGAGTAGAAGTGAAATCAAGCAGCCCAAGCCAGTTTCTCATCTCCTAGAATGCAGATATGTTCCAGACAGCACATTTACTATCTCTCCACAGATGCAGAGAGATGCATCCACTTAGCATGACTGTCTTGTTCCCAGATGAGACAAGGACCAGGTTTTCAAGCAATGTGAAAGAGGCAAATGTCCATGTGCCTCTTCCGGCCTGTCTTCAGCCAGAGCACTGAGATTTTTAGGGAAGATATGGAAGAAGAAAGAAGTACTGTTGCTACAGGATGCACTCCAGCTGGAATAATGTAAGTTTTTAGGCATGCAAGCTCTTCCTTAGCAACTTTTTCATCCTATAAACCTTACAGTCCATTGTGGCTTCAACCACATCCATTTTACACGTAGTCTCATGGCCAAAGCAATACTTAGTGAAAGAATTAAAATTACTCCTGGCTCTGGCTTTGTTTTGGCTGAAAATATGTCTGTGTTTTGAATTTTTTAGACTGAAGTTACTAACTCCCTTGTAGATATATTTAAAAATGTGATGGATAGTTACCTTTAATGTACAATAGGGGTTACTTATAGGAATTTAATCTTGAATTCAGGTTATGAGAGTTCATCACTTTTTGTTCAGAGCTGAAACTCCTGGATCTCATTAGATGAATCTCTGACTCTCACTGAAATAGCCATTGCTCCATAATTTGCTGAATTTAGTTATGTTCTGTTGTTTTTGTAATACATCACTCCTACCAATGTGCATTTCTGTTTGGTCTTGAAGCAAATTGCTTTCCTGCATAGAAGGTATTGCTAAAGCATGCCAGAAAGACAAAGTGTTTCTCTCATTTAAACCCAGTCCTTGAGTTTTTAGAGACAAGCTGTTAGAGGAGTTGCATGGGGCCCTTCTCTGCACAGATACCTCCTGCACTCTTTCTATTACTTTTTCTTTAATTCCACTAAAACATCTTTTTCACTGTCCTAGAGTTGTCAGTCATGTGAGCAGCCTACCTGACTTCAAAGCAACATTTTGAAAAGGAAAAAGTTATTTGAATGGTGAAGTGATGTAAATTAGCCTTCTGAAGAGTGATGTTGTTTTTTGTCCCTTTCTGTTAATTCTGAAGTGCATATACTTTAGCACTGAGAAACCATTTTATCTGATACATGCTAAGATTGTCATCTGTACTATATCACATACAATGTGTGTTTACTTAGGTATTTTTTCCTTCATTTTTCTTCAGAAAATATGTGCCTATATCTGTACAGCTCTGTGAGCTGACATTTCTTTCTGAACAGCTGTGTGAAGAATTTGTTTAAATTTTCCACCTTTTTTTTTTTTTACCTTATCCCTTTAGGAATGATTCTCCATAATCCCTATTCTGTTCTTCAATAACAGTTTATTCTTAGGCCTGTTTAATTTTTTTTTTTCTTTAATTTAAATTTAATAAAAAATAAATAAAATAGAAAATTATATTTTGCTAAAATTTAATTTTAAATTGTAAAATCTTTATTTTGGTCTTATCTGTTTTTCAGTCTTCCACCTCATCAATTTTTTGATACCTTTAATCATTTAGGAGTTCTTTCTGATTGTTTCTTTTCTATAATTTCCTTTTGCATCACTGTTAAGCATTTACTATTCTTGAACATCTGGAATTGGGAATAAGGTAGCCCTCAGTGCACTTTTTATGTCACTTTAGTCTCTACTTTTACTACATTGCTATGCTACTGCTTAGCTCCCATTGTAAACACTTAGATGTATCAAGGTGAGAAACAAAATCTTTTTTTTTTTTTTTATCTATGTATGTCTGTCCTTGTAGAAAAGTAAACAAATCGAATTTCTAAGTCTCAGGGTCAGTTTCTTCTCATTAAATCTCCAGTAGAATGCCACACTTGGGTATTTTAATGAATATACAAAGACTTTTCCACACTATGTTTATTTATTCTAATAATCACTGTCCAGCGATGGTAATCTCAAATCCTGAGCCCCTTTTCATTTCATTTTCTTCCTCTTCTCCTTTGGTGAGGAGTAATGGGAGAGTGATGTAGTAGTTTAGCTTCCCGTCAGGGTAAAATCATCACAACTGGCAGCAGATACTTCAAATGTGGTCACAGATCCTCCTTTAAGAAGATATAAGCACTGATGAAGGGTACAGCTCTTGCTGATGCAAAAATGAAGAACAAAACTGCAAATGAAATAAAGCAGAAGAGATATCATAAAATTAAAATATTTGAAAGTGAGGACTTGGACTGAAACAGCACATATAGAAAAAAATTGTTCAGTTCTGAAAATATGAGAGAAAGAATACCGCAAATCTAATTTACAGGAACAGATTAAATAAAACAATTGTAGTTATTTTTGATTTTCTGATGGAAAATGATAAAAGAAATTTATTTAGCAGATTAATTATTATTATTTTTTAATCTGCTAAGCTTTGTTTTTATAATGTTTTTCTCAAACAAAATCTTTCAGTGTGTTGTGAGTGCTATTTGAGTACTATCACTTTTACTTTCTTGTCTCTTCATTTTTTTTTATTCTATATAGTCTTAAAATAGAAGTGGAAAGCAAGCATAAACTAATATTTCAAAATATTCTTTTTTACAAATACTTATTATCTATGAAAGGCTTTTTAAAGCAACAAAAGCACTAAATTCCATTAACGGCATTTTACTTTAGTTGAACTTTCTGACTTGCTATCACTTATTACGTAAACAGCTCAACAGGTTAAAAAGGAAAAGAAAGAAAAACAGGCAACATCTTATCAAGCTGCTTGTCTCTGCTGTTAGAATAATGAACTAATTTTCAGTTCACTGAAATAATATAGAAAGCACAATACAGATAATCAAATGCCGGGTGCCCAGTGAGCTATGTTGCACTACTGATCATTTCATCATTTCTGGAAGTCATAGTTACATGGCTGAGAAAGAAAAACTTTGTTTTTCATGTATGAAAATATTTTACCAGCAAAGCAAGATCCACCACCCTTTGCTGGGCATACTCCCTGCTGTTCACAGGAATCATTCACATCTTTCAGTAGCTTACAGTGGTGTTTCAAAAGCCGTTCTCAGAAAGCATTGTGTCAATTCCCAGAGGTGATTCCACAGCTTCTCAAGCCTTGTGGTCATTCAGCAACTTCCCCAGTCTCTACGTGTTTCTAAGAGCAAAGATTTGTGGAGAAGCAGATATTCTGAACACTCAGGCTGGAATGAAGAAGCTCTACTAACTGGGTAAAGGACATTCACTCATTGCAACACATCTGTAAGTGGTCTGTAGATCAATACCAATTATAATTCTTATGCTTGTTGGTTAGGAAAAAATATGTTTGACAGAAGCTCCTAGGAAATAAATGTTTCCCCGAGGAACAATATGTTACCTTAATGAAAACCTACCTTAAGATTATTGAAGGACTGATTAAACATAGCAGATTTCTTTTTTATCATGATGCTTTTGACAAGAAATTCCATGGTTTTCCAGCTCTTCTTCAAGATTTAAGGGGAGGAGAATTATAAATAAGAGTTTGTTTTCTTAAGATCTTCAATTTAACAAAAGTATCTGATGTGGCAAGTTTAATAATCTTTCTGCCAGTTAAGAGACAGTCTTTCCCAAAGGCAGTGTCTTAATTTTACCTTAATCTTTTAATTACATAATATGCATGTGTCTCTGTGTAAATGTTGACTCTGATGCTAACTTCTTCAATACTCAGTTCCTTGAGAGAATGATGTAATGCCTTGGGGGTCTTGATATTTAATTACTGAGAACTTTCCCACCCATGCATTGTCTAGGCTGCAAAGTTAGATGCAAAGCTGCATCTTGGCTGAAAATCCTGAAGGTCTCCAGATAAACACAACACCTTAAAAAACCTGGTTTTGAAGAACTATTGTATACTATAGAATAATGCATTGGTTCTCATGTGTTTTCATGTGTGGAAGAGATCACAAATCATCTGTCCAGATGCAAAAGTCTGTATTTATAAACCTCTGAAAATGTAGGTTCACATGAGCTCAGGTTCTGAATGTCTTAAGCTCTCTTTATATCTGGCAAAGTCAGTTCTGTGATTCATCATTCCACCCTGATTTAGTAACCTACAACAGATCAATTAAGCTTTAGGCATTGAGAAATGTTTTGAAAGGACAGTAGAATCTGAAAGACGGAAAAAGTATATCCCATCCTGTATTCTAGTGCAGTAAAGATGCTTTGTTACATTACGAAAATCCAGTATTAATTGCAAAAGTAAAGGAGGAATGGTTGTAATATATATTATCTTAATTGGAATATGTTTACTTTATGCTGAAACTTACGGAAAACTAGGAAATATTTTTATTACTATTTTTTTTCTATCAAGTTTTTTTTTTTTTTTTTTTCTTTTTCTTTTTCCTTTGGCACTTAACTAAATTTAAAATGAAGAGCCTTTTAAAGCAATGGATCTGACAGCCAAAAAGAAAGAAGAAATAAAAGGTTTTGGAGAGAGTATAGAGAGAACTAATACATACGATTAAGGGGGACAGAGAAACTGATTTATGAAGAAAGATTAAAGAAGTAAAATATGTGCATGTACATTGGAGATTAACTAAATGGCTCATAGGAAGCATAACTATTTTCAAGTATTTTATGCATGCAAACGCCGAAGATGGAGAGGAAATGATTATTTGGATACATTTAAATGAGGAAAGATTCTGACATTGAAGTCTGATACAGTTTCTTCAATGTTGCCAGGAAAGATGTATATGCTGAAAGAGGACCACACCCAAAAGGGAAAAAGTTATACATTAGAAGAAGCACAAAGCCAAAAGGACTTTAGAAATTATTAAAAAACACTATACATTTTAATACCAAATAAGAGTCATGTAAACTTTCGAACCAGCCTATAATGCTCAATAGAACAGTATGACAGCACTAAATTGGTAACGGATTCAAATTTGTGTTGCAGTTTTCTTTTCCCACAAGAAAATAAAATGCATCATTTTGAAAGATCCTGGCAGATGGAGTGATCAGCTGGTTGACATAAGAGGACAAACTAGTCCATTTCCATGTATAGATTGGATGCTCAGCAAATATCCTAGTAAATGTTCTGACAAACTATCAGAACACTCAGTCTTTTTTGCACTTTGACAGATTATACAGCAGTTAATAATTAAGCAAAAGGAAGTTCTGTATAAAAAAAATCTGCCATCATACTGAAAATATATATGTATATATGTTCCACCTGTGTATGTAGAGTCCACTGGTGTGGCTATGAGTGGTATCTTTGCTGACCAATAATGCTGCTGGTAAACTATCAGGTAATTAAAAGTCTGAGGAAAAGGATCCACACAGAGGCCGACTAAATTGGCAACTGAACTGGGATAAAAGACTAGTTGTAGGCACAAGTATGGATTTACCAGAAAAAAAAAAAAAAAAGGACTGGTGCACATGTTTGTGTTTGTGAGAAACAATGGTGGCTGTACTGCTTGCTGAGCCCAGATCCTCTATCCATAGGATTAGCTTGGTTCTACGTATGTCTAGGCAGAAATTTGTTTGAAAGAGTCAAATAAAGAATCCATATTCTTTAGTTATTTATATAGTTTGTCAGAACAGGATTCAAATATTGTCAGTCATCTTGAATTATAACTAGCTTACAGCTTGTGCTCTGAACCCATCCACTCTTTTGATCTTTTTACTTTAAGAATGCAACGTGGGAAATAACTTTAAAGTGAATGATACACATCTGAAAGACTCTCAGGAAAAATAAATAAGAATTCAGAAACATTCCACGTAAAAAAGTACCTTTTTAGAACTGGAGCAGAATTTGAGCTCTTGTGCTCATTCGTGGCAGAATTTAAGCGTAATATTTTACCTCTTCCTTAGCAGTAAAGAAGCAACATCAGATGTGAGGAAATATATCAGTAGATTTTTACATCTCACAAATAATCAGCAGGTTAGAGTCAATAAAACTACTTACCTAAAATAGAATACTGGAATGTTTAAGGTGCCTACGTTGAAACTGTGACTTGAAAACCTTGCATTCAGTGTCTGCCTGACCAGAGAATCATTTAAACATAACCATCTTCCATGTTAGCTGTGAATGTTTCTGAGAGCACATGATATTCTGTTTCTGACCATTCTCAGAAGGGCTCAGAGTGAAGAAATGTACCACCATCTGAATTCAGCAGTCTGGGAATCCAGAAGATAAATGGTAGTGTTAGCTTGTAGCTGAGACCTGGAAAGTGCACTCAGACACATGTAGAATATGCCAATAAATCTGGGAACCTTTCAGAAGGAGATGACTTTTTACATCTGCTTTGATCTCAGGCATTTAAACTATAATTTCTGAGGAGGAACACCTTACCCACTGGGTTCCAGGCTAGTCTACATCGCTGTACAGATGTGCACTACAGCTGAAAACTGGTTAAGATTCAAGGAGATAGAGAAGGAAAGAAACAATTTTCTTATGGAGCAAGAAGGATTCTGACTTTTGTTTTTGCCCCACACAATTTTTATGTTTATTTTTCATTAAATAGTTTCATTATTTCATTCTATTCATTAATAGAACTAAGAATAATCTAGTGTTGCATCATTAACATCTCATCTTCATCGGCAGTTATGTTTAAAAAAAAAAAAAAAAAAAATGGAGCCTTTGAAGCAAAAGTTGAATTACTGTGATGGTCTGTGGACACTGAGTGGATGGAAATAACCACAGTCTTCCACTGTGAAAGAGTGCCTAAACAACGTAGGTTGGCATTATCTGGCTTTCAAAATTATGAATTAGGTTCTAGATAACTCCACAGTATTTGTATTTTGTTAGTCCTCCCACATATCATCATCTGTTTTCTGTAGAAAACAGCTCTCCAATCTTGGCTTTGGATTCTACTGTGTGGGCTAGATGTCTGAAACCATTGTGAGGGTCTGTGAGGTCTGTGAGTACCTCTGCACCTTTCTGAAGCATCTTGTGGGCAACAAGAATTTGAAGTGGAGAACTTAAAAAATGCTCAGCACTTTTGCTTTAACTGCTTTTGTCATTTGTCTTTCTGGCATCTCTAGAGTTCATTGATATTTCCCTTGTAATTCCTGAAAGTTTAACTTGGACCTCAGTCTCCTCAAGGAAATATTGCTAAAGATCAGAAATAGGCTTAAATCATAAAGTTTCCAGGAGAGCGAATCTAGGAATTTCTCTCAGTTTCATCTTTAACACTGCAGTAGAAGCCAGTGACAACAGGGCTTGTATTCCAGATATCAGACTGAGAATGTGGTCTTGATTTGAACAACGTAATTTGCATATATATAAGCAAGGAAAATATTGATAGTGAAATAATTATGAATATATAAATGTGAGACAGTAGGAAGCCATGTTTATAGGCATTTTTCAGTTTATAACCACACTTTTAAGAATTTCCTGTCTTTTGTTTTAGCCAGACACATGGGATTATTTTAGTGTACTTTTATTTGTGTGTTCTGTTTCCTTTACATTTTTGTTTGAGCAGAAGAGGATAGGGATAAAAATGCAGTCTTCAAGAAAGTTTTACAAAGTTTATGATTCTAGGCTGTAGTTATTCCCCTATGTGCACTTAAGACAATAATAAAAATGCAAGCACCATATTTTGAAAAGTTATTATGACTTATTATGTAAACAGATGATAATAAAACATTCTGAGTTATTATTCAAACACAATACACCATAATTGTTTCTTTGGAGACACTATACATTTCTGTCATGGGCTTTATTTACAGGATTCTTTGTAAAACCTTCACAAAGGTAATTACTGTCTATCCCCATCATCACATTTCAAAAATAGTGATCTCAGCCTCTGAACATGTAAACTCTGAAACAAAAGAAGAGTCCTATTGTCTTCTTATGTAAACAAAGCTTGTTTACAACGTTGGGCATTTCAACATTAAGCCTTACTTATAATACACATGATTATACAGGTTTTCAAGATAATACATGTGAACTCACAGATGGTGGTTTCAGGCCACTTAATCTTAATAGGCTAGTTTATTTGGTGAAAAACTTAGGAACTGCCTTTGTATTTTTAAAATATTTATGGGAAATGGAGAATGAATATCTGAAGTTGATTAGTTCCATTTGCAAATTCTGGCTGATAGACAGTGTTTAACAAATATAGGTAGTATCTTGTTCCACACTGAGTGGAAAAAAAATTCTTTTCTTTTGTTAATATGAAGTTCGTAAGTAAATTATTCTTGAAATACTTTCAGACATTTCAGCAAAATAAAACAAAAAACAAAAGTTCTATCTAATGTGGATTGGCATTGTGTTGTACTTAGTATCATCTGTCTATCTATCTATCTATCTATCTATCTATCTATCTATCTATCTATCTAT